TTTCCACTCTTTTCCATTTTGGGAACCTTTTCTCCTCCCACCTTCTCACCATACTTCAGAGGGCGTGAACTGCCCTCCCACTTCTTCGTAGCAGCTTCTCATACCTATACTCTGGATGAGGCGTCGACAGCCTCCTTCGTGCGTCACGTGATCACCACTTGACCAATGATGTCTTAGTCGGCGTGGACGAATCCGCGGCTTTGTTTCAGGAAGAAAAAAAAATATCTTGCTTAACTAAAAAAAATTATCTCTTCTCGTTCCCTTTTCTTCCTCTTAATCGCCGTTATCATTTCCCTAGCCGCAAACGGGACAATATAACTCTTGTTATACACGTGGTTTTAGTCAGGTATTTTTATCGCCAATTATCAGAATGGGTGGCCTTCTTAACACGGCCTCAAAAAAAGAAACATCTCCAAAGTTTCAGTCAGTCTGTCGCTTCGAAGAAAGAAGAAAAAACACTTCTGGGTCCCCATTCATTTTCTTTCAGTACATATTTCTGATAACATAATTTTATTATCGTAGGCCAAGGATGTTCTGCGGCAAGAAAATCGGTCAGTGTAGTTACTTTGTGTGTGTCGCGATTAATTTTTCCATATCTACCCAAAGCCCTGTAGTTACACCTGTGTTTTGTCAATTATCAAAATTAACGTTTTCAATTGGACTTTTCTTTGGCGAACATTTTTTGATAACATAATTTTATTATCGCAGGCATAAAGATGTTCTGCGGCAAGAAAATTGGTCAGTGTGGTTACTTCGTGTGTGTCGCGATTAATTTTTCCATGTCTATCCCAAAGTCCCTGTTTTTCGTCACTTACCGAAATAACATTTCCACTTGAATTTTTCTTTGGCCAGTCGACCAGCAGTTTGTTTACGTACTCCTAGATAACACAGCCGTTATCAAAACACATCTGAGTCTTTCTTTCTTTCCCTTTCTTTTTACTCAGAATTTCCCTGTCATTGTAATGACACCCTTTCGCCATTTGTTGCTTATCAATATATCCATTGTCTCTTTGCCGTGTGTTCTGCTGATCACCCACGATTCGTCTCGCCTTTCTTTCTGCCTTCTTTTCTTTCTTTTCCTTTTCTGCCTCGTAAATGGTGCCACACGTGTTGAAGTGAATTTGATGATTATAATTAATTTTATAATTGATAGCTGACATTAGGATTTGATGTATATATATATATATATATATATATATATATATATATATATATATATATATATATATATAAAAATAAGTGTATTAGTGTTTATATATAATAAAATAAGTGTATTAGTGTATATATATATATATAAAATAAGTGTATTAGTGTATATATACGTGTATTATGTGTGTGTGTATATGTATATATTTATATATATATAAAATAAGTGTATTAGTTTATATATATATATATATATATATATATATATATATATATATATATATATATATATGTATGTATATATATTAGTGTTGGGACGATTAATCGGAATCGGGAATCGGAAAAATCGCAAAAGGCAAAGGTTAGGAATCCCATTCAAATAAACCTTCTTTTTTTTTTTTAATTGGAATGTTTTTTCTTACAAATAATCAAATAAAACTTTTTTATAATAGGAATTTTTTCTTTGAAAATATTTTTAAATAGTTTATTTATTATTTTTATAATTGTAATGTTTTTTTTTTTGTGAAAATACTTTTTAAATAGTTTATATTGAAAACATTTTTAAATACTATTCTATTTTTGAAATAGTCTAATAGATTTTTTTATAAATAGAAATATAACAAAATTTAAATATATTAAACATCATCGTAATAATGTATCCAATATATTGTTACTAATTCCCACGTGTTCAAACTAGTGAAATTAAAAAAAAAAAAACACTCTAAATGTACAAAAGTGACAAGGAACTGTTTTCCGATAAACACCGCTTAATGTGGGTTTCTGATTTCAATACCGGAAGCCGTCATCAAGTGGACCTATAATTGTTTTTTCACAAGTTTTTTAGTGTATTCAGACGTAATCGCCTAAAAAGTAAAATATCATGGGAGAGGGGAGCTTTAGCTGAATATTCTTTTTAATTTGACAAACTTCTCATGTTTTTCCATTATGTATTGTATCCAAGATTTTAATAAACTCATTCTGAGATATTAATCTATATTTTTTTCCTTTTGCCATTTTTTCATTTTTATCCACTTTTGCCATTTTTACCGTTGCCATTTTTACCCTGCCATTTTTTCCGTTGCCATTTTTACCGCTGCCATTTTTACCTAAATTCATGTTCACTATCATTGTTATTTTCTTTGGCAAGAAATAGTCTAATTTGCTGATCTATAAGGTGGTTAGGGAAGCCATTGTTAACTAGCGCCTGTTTTATATTATTGAGTTTTTTAAGGAAGAGTAGTCGAGAGAATGAATATAGATATATATATATATATATATATATATATATATATATATATATATAGAGAGAGAGAGGGGTATCACCACGAGATCGCTGAAAAATGAGCATAGCAGGATAATAAAGGCCTTAAACTTGGCAAAAACAAAATTCTATTGTCAAAATGTTTATGTTTTCATTAGGAGAAGAGAACAAAGTAATTTTTAATTATTTTTCAAAGTTTTTCTGTCTTTATTAGAGCATTCTAACTTTTGATTGAAAAACATCGTTTCTCTTTATCAGCTCGTGTCCTACTAAATAACATAGCGGATTTTTGCCTGTTTTTTTTTTTTATGGCAGTCATTAATTTGAAAATCTTGTAAAAATAAAAATAATTGTCAGATTTTAATGAAACTTTCAGAAACTATTCACAAATGATGGAAATTATTACAAATATGTTTATTTTTTTCAAAGTTATAGTAATTTTTTATATATATTTCTTACCCCCCACCCATAATTAATTTTATGAAAACTCATGAAATTCTAATTTGTACAGATTTACTGATTAATTAGTTAAAAGTACAAGGCTTTGAGGAAAGCAAATCATTTTTTTTTAGTTTAAAAAGGCTTTTAGCTTTTTTCTACCTTAAAATCAGCTCTGAATTGTAACATACAAAACTCAATAAAACAAATATATTATTTAATTCCAAAAGCTTTTAATTGCTTTTACTTGTTTGTAGGAATATAGATAATATTTTCTGAAAATAAGAAACGTTTTCGATGAAAAATAATTTTTTACAACAATTATTTGTTATTTCTTAAATTATTTAATTTTTTTTACATTAAAGTTGTTAAATATTCTAAAATTAATGAAAATCTTGTACACCCTAGTCAGTGGTGTTATTAAGTAGATAAATATCATTTACAGATTATAAAATAAACAATCAGAATAGGTAAAAATCTAATATAACATTTTTTTGTGCCCCAAAATAGCGAAAGTTCAAATATACGGAAGACCGGAAGCATCATGAAAACAATATTCCGTCACGTGATTTGTGTTGGTAGTAACATAAACATTTTGACGATAAAATTCTGCTTTCGTCAAGTTTAAGGCCGTTTTTATCATGCTATGCCTACTTATAATAATAATAAGGAGGTAAATAAGTTATTCACATAACGCTAAACTGTCACTTGTGACCTTCCATACTATAACTTTTCCTCCCGTAAGATGAAATTACGCACATGTCACTTGTCATTCAACACCTCTCTTAAACCCGGCTTTCTATCATTTGAAAGAACTTTTTTTTCAGCGCAGAAAGTAAATAAAGTTTGTTTCAAAATACATTAAATAAACTTCATAATTTCGCATTTTCTTAAGTTAATTAAAAAAAAATCATAATTGATTTTTTAAACGAATTGATAGTTAGCGATAATGATTTTTTTTTCTTCAAAAGAGAGCGTTTTGCGTGTAGAATTTGCCATATTGCTTAAAAATAAAGTCCTAATCATAAATGAACTTTTACTTATTGTTGAAAAGCTTTTGTAATTTTGTATAATATTTATGCATTACACCCTAATCTTTTTTCGGTAAAAATTTCATTGCTAATCATGCATTACTTTTTAAGTAATATACATATTTATGTCTTTGTTGTTTCCGTTCCTTATATTATGGCCGCTACTGTATATATATATATTGTAACATTTTTTATTATTATTTATTTTACTAACTCTTCAATCAGTACAAACCGCAAAAGCCACTCAACGTAGACGGTCACCGCATGAAGATCATCTTTCAGAGTAAAGGGAAGATCAAAGTTCAGAATATGAGGATATGTAGGATATATAACGATTGACACTAGACTCAAAGAGTTCAAGATTATAGTAATCATGGCAGCGTTCACACGGAACTATGTTTCACAGCCTAAAACTTCTGTGTTAGAAGCTGTCTGCGTAGAACTTCCTTCTAAATACTTCTGGAATACGAATGTAATCAGGCTGATTCGAACCTCTATACTTTGCATAACGAAATCCTAGCTATAGTCTGGATCTAAGGAATGTAGCTCATCTGAACATTTGCTGTGGCAATAGCTATAGATTAGTGAGGAACTTGCGACGTTTCTTCTGTGGGAAAAAGGGGCATCAGGGTTGAAAATAATTCAGCGCCCACAAGGCTGTATAAATGTTGTTCAGTCAACACAGAAAACTGATGATTGGGCAGCGTGAATCCAGATACATCAGCAATACGCCATTTTTTTTTTATCTAATTCATAATTATATACATTACCGGCAATGTCTTATCATTTCCCAATTGAAATAGTGAGATGTAACTAAGTTCTATGCTAACGGTCTATTTTCTTGTACTTCTCGCTTGTGTAACACTCTTCCGTTTTCTTGCAGTCAAATTTAATCATTAATCGTTATCTTCTAGCTTTTCAATTATTCTTCTTTTACGAATAAATAAATAAAAGACAGGGTTTTAATATAAAGCAGAAGGAGAGTACGCCGAAGGAAAAAGTCGCCAGCATTGACCGCGTGGGATTCAGAAAATCGGCCAACCACAACGACCTTCATGAACCAACACAGTTGGAAATACTGCTAAAATATGTAACTACATCCTAATATGCCTGTTATACTGATACTATGTTTGTAACCCTCTATTTTCCTTTCTGTTGATAGATAGATAGATAGAAAGATAGATAGATAGATAGATAGATAGATAGATAGATAGATAGATAGATAGATAGATACAAAAATGATTGAGATAGATAGATAGATAGATAGATAGATAGATAGATAGATAGATGAGGAGAGAGAGAGATGTGAACAAACCGAGGAGATATAAAAATATTAAGATATATATATATATATATATATATATATATATATATATATATATATAGAGAGAGAGAGAGAGAGAGATATGTGAAGAGACTGACATAGATACAAAATGATTGAGATAGATAGATAGATAGATAGATAGATAGATAGATAGATGGGGGAGAGAGAGAGATGTGAACAAACCGAGGAGATATAAAAATATTAAGATATATATATATATATATATATATATAGACAGAGAGAAAGAGAGAGAGATATGTGAAGAGACTGACATAGATACAAAAATGATTGAGATAGATAGATAGATAGATAGATAGATAGATAGATAGATAGATAGATAGATAAGCAACGAGGGAATCGTAAGAAAATGGCAGTAAAAGGACACATAGTTAAATAAATTAGACGGTTGATATTTCTAAGAATATATAATGAATATTTCGACAAAATAAAATAGAGTTTAAAGTAAAAAAAATATCCCATAATTAGAGCAATAGGAAATGCTTTCAGAGTGAAAAAAACATTAATTGTTTATATTACTTTGTTTAATATTCAGGTACAAGTCTGTAAGTTAGAAGATACAGCCTTGGAAAATTGCGAAAGATATCTTATTCTATATGCAGTGTCCATTCAGGGCGTTGGCGATCATTACCTGACACAATTTCCTCTCCTTTGTGGCTCTTAATAAATATTGTCGTTTTGGTATCTCTCCTGAGTCCTGTTCTCACATTCAATAAATATAATGTTTCATACATAAGCGTCTGCTCAAATATGGGTATCCACTAAAAATAACGTTTAATATTGAAATAGAGTTTAAATGAATCTCAGAAGAAGGGCAATTTTTTTCCAGAATTGAATACTATTTTCGATCGTTTACCCATCACTGAATTCGTTTAGTAAGTGGACTATTAAAAAATGTCAGCTTGACAATTTAATAACTTCTTTATTTTTATTTTGTCTGGGTGTGTCGGAATCTTTTAAATGTGTTTAGTCGTTCAGATCTATCTATCTATCTATCTATCTATCTATCTATCTATCTATCTATCTATCTATCTAACTCATAAATCGGTTTATAAATTAACTGTTTCCATTATCAGCTGTATTGTTTTTTTTATATATATATATATATATATATATATATATATATATATATATATATATATATATATATATATTGTCTGAAGTTATGCTGTTGACTCTCGTGCCAACTCTTGTATTTTACATACTCTATCCCTGAAACTGAGGGCTTTCACCCCAAAATATAGCATATCTTAAAACAATATTTTTTCATATATATATATATATATATATATATATATATGTGTGTGTGTGTGTGTGTGTGTGTGTGTGTGTGTGTGTGTGTGTGTGTGTGTGTCTGTGTGTTTGTGCGTTGTGCTCGTTTGTGTGTATTTTTATCATGAATATTTCTCTATCTCTCTATCTATCTATATATATATATATATATATATATATATATATATATATATATGCAAAAGGCAGATTGATGGATACACAAAAAGAAACAGTAGTGTGTGGATCAATATAATTCCGCTAGGCATGTAAAGACATGTGAATTTATCCTTGCCAACCACATATGCCGATCACACTTATAAGAAAAGTGACACATAGTCAATATCCAATTTATAACATGTGCATACAGTATTTCGCCTTCAAAATTGCGCATAACCCCACCCCCCGTGAGTAGGACTTTAACTTTTATCACTGCGCTAGTCTATAGAATATTGACTGCGCATTCAGTGATGCCTGTGTTCGCCTGAAAAACTCTCACGTATTTATATCAGATAAGCCAGTGCAAAGGTTTTACGCCCGCTTGTTATATGGGATGTACTTCTGACGTTAAATGTCTCATTAAAAATGACACTACCATTTCGTGGGGTACTTCGGCAATTTTTTCCGCTCCACCTATTATACAAAAACCTACGGCCATCTATTCTCAAGCGTGGACGCCATATCGTTGAAGACAGAATGAAACAGCGAACTTCACGAATTTTATTTGAAATGCTATTCTTTATTATATTTTCAGTCTGTGATTAAAACTGATTTTTCATAAGCAAGGGACAGAATATTTTATTTCTGTAAGTATGGTATATAAATGGAATTGTCTTGATGTTCATATATGTATTATATTCTTTCTTTTTTATGTGCCATGTCCTTTCAAGATCTAGGTGATCATGGATTTCCCCCCTCTATCCCTTGCAGCCCTCAACAAGTTCCTACCCTCTGCTACCTCCCTCAGACCACGTTCTGTCATCCACTTGCTTAAGCCCGCTAGGTATGCCATGCGATATTTTCCCTTGTTTCTCTTTCCCTCTATTCGACCCATGATTATCAGATTCTCCAGGCCTTCCTTCCTCATTATGTGTCCCAAAAATTTCAGCTGCTTCTTCCTGATGTTAAGAATAAGCCTCCTCCTTGTTTACATCCTCATCGTTGCTCAAACGTTCGGTCCATGATATCCGTAGCATCCTTCCGTGGAACCATATCTCCATATCGCATCGAGTCTCTTCCTCATCTTTGATGAAATGTTCCAACATTCGCTGCCTTAAAGAAGGACAGATGTCACGTAAAAGCTCAGTATTCTTTTCTTTGTTACTAAAGATATCCTGCTGTTTCGCAATACTTTGCCTGGCTTTTGGAATGCGCACTTGGCCATCCCAGTACGTCTACGGATCTCAGTAAGCATCCGCGTCTGCTTGATTCTTGCGTTCCCGACCTGCAAATCGCATTTCTGGCTCATCCTTTTACTGATGACCATGCATTCTGTCTTCTTGTAGTTCATAGGCTATAAGCTTTATATAATAAACCTTTCGAACTATATCATGTATATCATGCATTACTGATCATATGTAAAGTTTACTATATGAATCATATTCCAAGAATTCTATATTAGTATGTAAAATAATGATGTAAATTCAATTATATAGGATATTATGTTTATAAATACATATTTCTATGGCCATTAAGACGTGAGTTTCACAAAACAAGCTATCATCAAGATTTTTAATAAGAATTATAAGAACATATTACATTTGACTGCAATATTTTCAAGATCGAATATATAATGACTGATTTTAAGGCAGCTTTTTACGCTGAATCCAAATATCATACTCATTGTCTCTCATCAGATCAAATTTGGAAGATACAAGCTCTTACTTGAAATGTATAGAAGATCTCTATTTATTTTCTTGTTGAATTAAGCAAATAATGCTAAATTTAGGGCTGATATATTTGCAGAAAGCTCACATTGTGCCATAGTAAACTGAAAAAATACACAAAAGAAGCTATTCATGGATGAAAGGTCTTTTCAGGGACTACCTTCTTTGTTCGGCAGCCATTCGCACACCAGTTCAAGTACCATACGTACTCAGCGAAAAAGTTTACATACCATCGGCCTTGATAGTGCTTTGGGACAGGAAGGTCTGGGCAATGAGGGATTGGTCTTATGGCAGAAGGAATATCGGGGTATTGAACATGGTGCTTGTTCTAGCCATTTCTTTCTTTTAGATTTATCATGCAGAAATAGCAGTCCGCAATGTGATCTTTTCATTCCTTGAAGACCATTGGAATGGCAAATAGTATACTCTTCCGTTTACCATTCCTCCAATCTCACGGGCTTTTGAATAAGTGTTCTTATTGTGTACAACTTGTTGTGAAGTTTTCAAGCACATCTTAAAAACTAGACCTGATACTACACAATGAATGGTATTTGTAAATTCAGCATAGAATTGAGATCATATATCACTTGATAAATATATGATTTGATTTGACCTTTGGAAAAAAATTAACGCAAGCTAGTGTTAATGATACTAGATATTTATAAACCTATAATTAATACTGAATTTTTAGACAACTATAATTAAAACCGGATTTCTATTTTAATTTTTAAATTAATAGCGAATTTTATGGTGGGAATTAACGTGTTAATGCAATAAGCAGGCCAAATTATAAATCTCCTTTAGTAGTTAGAATTTCAATTTGACTCGATTATCAGCGAGGAAGATTCCAGAATATAAATATAACCACCGTCAAGAAGCGAGGGATGCAATTTTATGGATACATCATTAGAGCCAACATTCTTTCCACTACCAACCAACAAGGTACCACCTTAAGTAAAAGAAGATGTGGCACGCAGAGAAAAAATACTCTGAAAAAATCACTGGGTTGACTGCAAGATCATAGAGGTCAAATCAATGGCTCGCATCTGCAACATACGAATGCCACTGGTAAGATGTTCAGCTGCATGGTGACCCTACGACCACATCTGGTCCTGGGACTTATCAAGATGGTGATGTGATTTTACAACTTGCTTCTAAAAAACCTTTTTTTAACATCTTCATCGTAAAATTTAAAAACTGAATATATTTCCAAATCCAAATATTTCATTTGAATAATTTATGTTAATGAAAATAAAATTAATAATTAGATGAAATCTAAAATGATTTTAGGTCATAGGTGTCAATCTCGCAAAGTCTGAGATAATATTTACAGTGATGCCTTATGCAGCAGTATATGTAAGTATTTTATTATAATTCTGTTTGCCACTCCGTTAGATAGTACCACGGTTACGCCCTACTAATGCCTCATAAATAATGAAATATTCTGTTTTCATCGCCTGGAACGAGGGAAAAGACTTATTGGTGACGCTACCTGGTTTCAGTGAGAAAAATAAGGAAAGAAAGATGGGAAGGTAAAAGTGTTTAACGTCTCCTGATAATAATTAATAAATAATGAACTATTCCGTTTTGATCGCGTGGAAAGAAGGAAAAGACATTAGAAACGCTACATGGTTTCAGTAAGAAAGAACGAAAGAAAGAAAGAAGAAAGAAAGAAAACGGGAAAATAAAAGTGTTTAATGTCTGCTTCAGTTAAATAGGAAAAGTTTTCATTTTCAAATCATTAAATAACAACCAGAATTCATATTTATGATTGTTATTGCAATATTTTCTTAAAGTTGTTAAGCTCAAATATTTACCGATACAACAGTGAAATTTCTACGGATATTTTATTGTCGTACAACTCGCCATAACTTTATTCAATAATTAATTAAGAATTAAGATTCATGAGAAAATTCAAATAGTCAAAAGCGTGAAATTTTCAGGGGTATTTCCGGTAAAAAAAAATAATTTAATTAGAATTTTCAAAACATACAGAGGGAAATGATGCACATTGAGATAAAATAATGTTCATCATTTCCCTCTGTATAATAATTCTTTCTTTTTATGTGCCATGTTCTTTCAGGACGTAGGCGATCATGGCTCTCCACCTCCTCCTATCCCTTGCAGCTCTCAACAAGTTCCTTCCTTCTGCTACCTCCCCAAGACTACATTGTCTCAAACAATTGCATAAGCCGTCACGTACGTCACAAGTTGTTTTCCTTTGTCTCTCTTTCCCTCTATTCGACTCGTGAGTATCAGATACTCCAAACCTTCCTTCCTCGTTATTTATGTTTCTTAATTACTACATTATTTAGATTATTTACATCCGGACTAATATTCTTATCTTTCTTCTTATTATCACAAATCTTCAGCAGCTGTGTCCTCCCGTCTTTTTAGTTCTCTGTCAACACAAATAACCTTCAAGACATTTCGATGTGAACACTTTATTTAATTTACGAGAGTAGATTGTTTTCGATCTGTGTCTACGTGTTGTCTTGTTCTTTTTTTTTTTTAGTACTGCTCAGTTATTGTTCATCCTGTTTCCACTGTGTCTCAGTCTGTACTACCCGGTCCAGAGATTGAACTCATGATTACTATATCACCAATTCACACGCTTAATATAAAGGCTGTTGTCATCTGAGACAATCCTGAACCAAGAATTTGGAGCCCAATATACAGGGTGGTCCGAAAGTCTTGTCACCCTCTGTATCCACTTTCATTGACGCTGTCACAGGTCTGTATGAACACCATCCTTTTCGTGTCAGCCATCTGAAATAGAAAATTATATTATATAGTGGGTGCTCCGCCTTCTTTCGGACCACCAAGTACATCTTTTCTGGTTTCTTTAAATAAATTCCTCATCCCAGAAATTCAGACACAAATTACTACATTGTATATACATATATCCAAAGCCTTCTCAGTTTCAAATGTGAAGACCAAAAGGCAAACACTTATTCTATATATATAGATACGTGTATGCTGGTTTATAACTATGCGTAAATATATGCATTCACCTGTTCGAACTGATATACACACGCGAATTCGCATATGTATATATGCGTGTATGCACGATTTTTTGGTTACACGTGTCTTTGACTAAATGTGAGATGTTAGTCATGTGCAGTTTTATCAAAATCTATGTATTATTCTCTTTGTTGCATCAAATATTTATTTACTCAGGTAGAGTCGCTAAGCCGCACTTACAGACAGAATGATTAGTTCGCAGCCCCGAGGAGAACTTCTTGTCGCGACGGAAACAACACAATAACGAAGACTTCACGTTCAGTGTCAATATAGAAGAACATTAAATAAGCCATTGAAACGCAAAATAAAGGAGGTTTCGATGCAAAATATAAGCAAGGAAAGAGAAAGAATTTGCATTTATTTATCTGTGTGTGTGTGCGTGTTTGTGAAAATACATACAAACGGATGAATAAGCGTAGAAAATTATTCGAATAGGATATAGACAGATTAGAGAGCGAGATAGTAATGAACAGAGCGAGATAGATAGATAGATAGATAGATAGATAGATAGATAGATAGATAGATAGATAGATAGATAGATAGAAACAGAACCCATATTTCGAATCGAGCAATACGAACTATCTGTACTTCACCTAGCCTCTATGGTGTGTTTTCTCTTCAAGCAGTTCACAGAAAAGGCTTTAGGGAATAATTGGTCTCAGGGTTCCCAACCCTGAGGCAGCACATCCCTGACTGAATTAAAAGAAAGGCGAGTCGGTGGAATATTGACGCCAGATAGACAATGGTCATGGTGACCAGGACATTTTTGTATTGGATGATGACAAACCTATGCTAAGAACTACCTTATGTCACGTCTGACCGGCGTGGAGAGGCGAGTCAATAAGTATGCCTTGGGGATGAGAAGAAAGTGTAATAATAATGTTAACTCTCAATTGTGTTTTTGTCTTCGGACAGAATACGACAAATGAATAAGGGATGCCTGGTCCCAGGGAATCCAACTCTGTCGCAACACTTCTCTCATTGCACCAAAGTAAAAGTGTCAGTAGACTTTTCTAGTTCCACGTACCATGTCTTAATGGAACTTGGAGAGGGGGATTAACTGGAGATAACTGATAACTGACATCCATTAAACATGGCAAGTGAAGCGAGAACAGTCTACCCCAGTGAGCGAAATAAAAGGGTTCAGTTCGACATTCCAATCACCTGATGAAGGCCGGAGCGTACAACGGCCGAAACGTTATGATAAATATGGTCGCAAAGATGAGGACAATAGTCCGAATAATGCAAATAGTGTACATAATATCTCATCTCAGAAATGTAAATAGTGTACATAATACCTCATCTCAGAAATATAGACAGATACTAAGCCATGAGTTGTTGACATCCCGTTAAACAAGCAAATCAATCTCTGAACGTATTTTTATTCGCTTGTATAGGTTTTACCTTTGTCAGGGGAAAAATTGAATAACAGTTCAAACCTCAGCAGAGCTCTATATGCAGGGAATTTCTCTTCTTTAGAATGGCATTTGAGGTATCCTCAATAGGGGAATTGCTCAATTTCCCCCCTTGATTCATACACGCATGCGTTCCACTGTAATTTCGTATGTACCAATAAATACAACCTATTTTTTTTTACCTCTCTGGGATAGGCTTTGCCTTGCCTGTGGCGAGGAGTTGGAATTGAATATGAACTAGAGCCCGGGGGATACGTAAACTAAAGATTTTCTTAGAAATTGATTAATAATTTGCAGGAATTTCAGTAGTAGTACACGGCGAAAGTAAAACTGCATTTTATAAACCAGCCCTTTTTATGCCGTTGTCGATCAGTAAGTCGCAAGTCATTTTAAATAATACTCTTGGTATATAGTGATTTTTCAAGCGTAGCTTAGATGTGGCACAAGGCCGAAAGAGTGAGGAACCCAGTGAGGATCGAATTCACTATTCAGTCGTAATTGTTCTAGCGAGACAAGCTTGCTAACCATTTTCACAGCCTCGAGGCGCCCTTTTTCTAAGCGTAGATTAGATGTGGCACAAAGCCGAAAATATGAGGCACCCAGTGAGGATCGAACTCACTATTAAGTCGTAACTGTTCTAGCAAGACAAGATTGCTAACCATTTCACCGCTTCGAAGTACCCAAAATAATAACTCACTCGCTATATAACGTTATTCACTATGTATTTCAGAAAGACGCCTTGTCATTTACATGAGGGTCAATGAGTAGTCGTCAACAAATAAAAGTGCGTTTCAAGGTCGTTTTAGTATAAGATGGGAGTGAAATGTGGGACCAGATGAAGGAAGAGCAGGGTATGAAGCTAAAGGGAGACGAACAGGCGAGAAGATCAGGCAAGAAATAAAGAATGGGAAATATATGAAACGACTGAGATGTAGAGGAAGGCTCAAGAAAGAGACAGAAAATTAGAAAAAAATTTGAGTACAGGAGGTGCGAAATAAAAGAAAATAAATGTGGAGCAAGAAAAGATAAAGTCTGAAAACGGAAAAAAAGTAAAGAAATTCAAAGTAAAACAGGATTAATAGTTAATGAGGGTGAATTCCAAGAAGGAATATGGCTATTTCTTCAATATTAGGAAAATAACGATTCTGTAAAAGCTGAAGAAATAGCAGAATGAAAGAAAAATCAACGATGAAAAACAGGAGAACAAAAGGCAAGAAAGAAGTAAATAACTAACAGGACTTTATTTGATTTTTTGCATTCGCTATTTTGTTTTTGAAGTTAAGGCTTATTTACAAAATAATAAGATTTAAAGACTCCAGCAATACGATAAGGCGTTCAAAACATTTTTTCCTATGATCGAAGTTCAAAAATAATGAAGCTGAACGTTTCCCAAAGAAAATATCCAATTATTAATCTACGTAAGAAAGAAAGCTGGGTTTTAATGATATACTCTTGGTTCGAGGATGCGTCAAGAAAAGAATTGTGCAGTTTTATATTAATGCTACAAAATATTTTGGGAAATAATGACATAACACAAATATGCTATCTCTCTCTATCTATTTATCTTCTGATATATACGTTTAGTTAGGTACAGTTCTGCCATATCTAACAAGAATCGAATACACTTGCAATGGTCTACAAACGTACCTCGCTAATCATCGTATCTCGTCAAAAATACAATATGGTAAAAGTAGTTACATCTGTTTCCTTATAAGGGAAACATTAAAATATTTTAAAATTAAAGAGTGAAAGGTATTCATTCATTAACAGCGCACTCAGTTCAGACGTCGGATGACATTTGTAAAATCTTTCTCTTCAAACAATTCTTTGTAAAATAGATTTCTGAAATCCACTAGCTGTTTAAGCTCTTCCCAGTATTGGTAGGGACTTCCTTCTTTTCTTTTTTTTGTTTGAAATAGTGTGCAACGTCAGCATATTGATGATGTCATTATTTTCTCATCGAGTTCAGTTGCTGCTCTTGTTGTAAATCTTCAGGTAATGTAAGCTTTGTTACTGGGTCCAATTCTTTGTGATTTCGTCACACAAGCCCACAATAGTCCGAAGAAAGATGATCTTCACTGAGGACTAAACGACTCATTTGATTAAGGATAATTTTAATCATTTAAACCATTTTAACCACTGATTCTGAGAAAGCTGTCGTATATAGCCGAATCTTCAGATATTTCTGAACAAGTTTGGTGCTATGCATGGTACTCATATAAAAGTCTCAATATGACTAATTTCTATATATACATCATTGTGGAAATTAAGTGAAACAAAACAAATAATTTCGTTATTATCTTTTTTTCGTATATTTCCAATGGAACATGCCTCAGTGAATATGTTATTACTTCATATGTCCATTCCACAAAGTTTTCCTTGCAGACTACAGATTCTCGATTGGACATAAATCAGGAGAGTTTCCGAGTCAGTCGATAGTACTATGATTTGCTCACTGGTAACGCTTGCCATTGTGTTCGTCCAGCGTTACAATTGTCCTATGCTTCCTTGGAGTAACATCTATCGCAGACAATGGCCGTAGGACGAATAATCGACAGTCAAGACAATAGTATCTGGACGTGATGAAAATCTGATGCATTAACGGATGACGCAATATTTTTCATCATAGACCAACGAAAATAGATTCATATTGCTGCACATGACAGAAAATGATCTAATCTGAGGAAAAAATAGGAATCGATTATATCCTGTCACTCCACTGGGTCTAAAACTGACAGTCTAGTGAAAGAAAGGAAACTAAAGCGATTGTTTCAAATACTTTGTACAAGGGTGTACATGTGAATATGATCATATATACTTATCTATGTGAGGATGCATAGATTTATCTCACGATATGTTTCTTTGTATTTTGGCTTACGGCCGTATCATGTTGAAACACCGGTTCTCGTACGAGGTTAAGCAACGTCGAGTCTGGTCTGTACCTAGATGGGTGATCGCTTGGGAATACCAACTACTGTATTTTTGGCTGTGTGTCGTGTAATGAATAATTGGAAATCGGAGAGCTGGGTTTCAATTCCAGATGGGTTCGCGGAAATATCATTGGGAAAGGTATGAATGCATATATTTCCCCCAGCTAATGTTTAATTAGTAGGAGTTGTATGAATAACTGTTTATTAAAAAAAAAAATTATCGTACAATCTAAAAAATATTTTCCGGCTCTGAATAACGTACATATAGTTGATAAGGCGAAAAAAAAACAAATTAATCTATCTAGTATCTAATTATTGTGGAATTTAAGCATTTTAGATTAGAAAGTGTGCATTTCTATGTATATTTTCTATTCATCTATTCAACACTTTATTATCATATACAGACATGAACACAAATGCGTACGTTTTTAACTAATTAATGGATGGGAAGAGATAATTTATTATTATTTTATTAGAGCATGAATATACAGAGATTGCATGATTGTCATGTCGTCTGAGTGTGTCAGCTTCATTTAAACAAGTTTAGATAGATATTTTAGAAAAGTGATGATAATATTTATATTTTTGCTAATTTTTCTAATTATTTATTTATTTATTGATATTTATGGTTATTAACTGAAAAATAATTAATTATTGACAACTGTTCTGGAAACAGCATTTATTAAAGATAGTTTATCAATGTGTCGTATACTAAACAACACAAACATCAGCATAAAAAATAACAATAACGATTTATTTTAATTAATTAAGTTTGTAACATAGAAAGAAAGAAAGAAAGAAGGAAAGAAAGAAAGAAAAAGAAAGAAAGAAATAAAGAAACGGAATAAATGAGATAGATAGATTCGAAAAGACAATGGTATGAACAGATAGATGTAAACAGACTAAGATAGATAGATAGATAGATAGATAGATAGATAGATAGATAGATAGATAGATAGATTCGAAAACACAACGGTATGAACAGATAGATATGAATAGCCTAAGATAGATAGATAGATAGATAGATAGAAGCAGGCTGACATACAGAGATAGATAGATATGAACGGCCTAAGATAGATAGATAGACAGGTAGATTCGAAAACACAATCGTATGAACAGATAGAGATGAACAACCTAAGATAGATAGATAGATAGATAGATAGATAGATAGATAGATAGATAGATAGAAAATTAAAAACAAAATTTTACATACTCGGAAAAAATATTTAATAACCACGTAAATCGTCCCAAATTTAACAATTGTCTCCCATCCTTCTACAAACTTACTGGGCCATTTTCTGTCGTGAAAAAGTCTTGAGGTATTTTCAGACTGACTGGATAGAGTTAAAATATTGTCCTTTAAATTCTTTTGTAGAAATCGGAACAAATGAAAAACCTACAGAACCAAGTCAGGAAAATACAATGTCTGCAAGACGCTTTCTCATTTCTACTCTCTGATCTTGCGCAAGATCTATTTTACAATATGCAGTCTAGTTCATCGCAATACTTCTGTTACAGTTTTGAAAGAAGCTGAGAGTGAATTATTCCTCCACAATCCCACCAAACTGACAGCATCTCTTTTAGTGGATGCAAGTCCGCTTTAGACACGGGTTCTGCAAACTCACAAGTTTGTTTCTAGCTCTGTTTGCGTCGAACGTAATGATAAACGTTTTACCACCTGTGACAATTCTGTCCAAAAAAAAGGCTTCTATTCATGGCTTAACAGCAACGAAATCACCACAGTCACATGATCGATCTTGTTCTTTTCTGCTGAGGAATGTCGCACTCAGGTGTCGAGATTTGAAACGAATCTATGCCTGTTCAATGGGCAATTTTGAGATATCGATTTACAAACTCTTAGCAATCTCTTCTGTTGAAATCTCCACGATAGCAAGTAGCGTGTATTCATCAATGTCGAAAGTTCGCCGGTATAGTTTTGGTTAAATTCACCCTGATGAAATCTACCAAACAATCTTTTGACCGTCCGAAGAGGTGGAGAATGATCCAAATACATCTTCTGAATGCTTTTATGTCGCAGTTCCGAAATTCATAGGCCATATTATGGCGAAAGTGCAACTTTTCATTAAGCCTCTTTAGAGCATTCATTTGCGGACAAAAGTCTGACTCGTAACTGAACTATGCAAGGTTTCAATCTACTACTCACCAGATACATATATAGATATGAGTAGCTAACCTCACATAAATCGATATTAACTGATTGATATACACACACACACACACACACACACATATATATATATATATATATATATATATATATCTGTTTAGCTATTCAATCTCTCTCTCTCTCTCTCTCTCTCTATATATATATATATATATATATATATATATATATACTAGCAGTAGAGCCCGGCGTTGCCCGGAGATGTAACAGTAAAAGAGAGATCAAGTATCGACCATCATTAAGACTGAAAAATAAAATTGACAAAGATTATTGTTTAAGGTTGATGGACACGCATGTCTTAATTAGTTTTTTTGTGTTTATTTTTTTGGGGTGGGGGTTACGAATTGGTCAAACCCAAACTCAAAGAAAAACATTGTTTTCAATCGTTATGAGTCTACCGATTGAATAGAATTTTATTATAAACAATTGTCTTGTAAATGGAATTTTTAAAGCATTCTGAATGTAAAAATAAAGAAAAGTGTGCAACACAATAAGAAACACTACCTGCCAAAAAAAGTGAAGTTTTGTTGAAATCGGTTGAAAAATGTAGGAAATCCGATCCCATATATAAACGAACACATACACACACAAACAACCTGGGTTTTATAATAAGTATAACTCGATATTAGTTGTCCCCATTCCATTCTCGCAATGCCTCTTAATCGTGTTTTCAAATTGATTTTGTGCAAAAACAATTGCGTTTTTCCAATTTTTGGCGCTGTCAGAACCACCGCAAGGTAATTTTACGTAGTCCTGTGAAGCTTTGTTGAAATCGGTTGAAAAATGGAGGAAATCCGATCCAATATATAAATGTACAGACACACACACATACACACACACCCTGGGTTTTATAATAAGTATGATATATATATATATATATATATATATATATATATATATATATATATATAGATAGATAGATAGATAGATAGATAGATAGATAGATAGAATACCTAAACAGATAAATCGATATGAACAGACTGAATAGATATGCACAGATTTATATAATTAGATTGCTGGCTAGATATGTGAAGACAATAGTATCAACAGATTGATATGATCAGCCTAAGATAGATAGATAGATAGATAGATATGAACAGCCAAACATGTTTAAATCGATATAACAAACAGCGGTTTAAACGAATCTGGAGGAAACTAACGAAAATATGATTCCCTTCTGGAAAAAATGTTTGTCACCGTCTTCCATTTTGGCGACTCTCTTCAAGTAACACACGTAGAAGGAGACACGCAGCAAAGTGTATAAGTACACCCGCCTTAAATAGTCGTCATGCGTTGTTTTTTCTCTTCTGAATTTTTCTCAGACATTTGATATCAATTTTCAAGAAAACAAAATATGGTTCAGCAATTATGTTCAGGCGCAATATAAACTTGTTCTCTTTTCGCTAAACAAGGGAGTATTTACTTACATGATTTACATTGTTCTTACTGTTGTCTTCATATTTATTGCCATTTTCACGGCGTTTCGGCCTTTGTGCGCCCAGGCCCTTATCAGGTTATTGGAATTTCGAACTGAACACTTTATTTCGTCCACCGGGGGGGTAGGTTGTTCTAGTTCCACGTGCCATGCCTCTTCCGGATGTCTCAGTTATCTCTTTTTAACTCAACTCTCCGTGTTTTTTTTTTTTTGTTTTTTTTTTTCACCACTGCAGTGGCCAAGGAGTTGTGAGTTCGATACCTGACTGCTGAGTTAAAGTGAGATAACCAATTTACCCCGGTGGATGAAATAAAGGGTTCAGTTCGAAAATCTAATCACCTAAAGAAGAAACGCCGTGAATATGGCAATAAAGATGAGGATAACAGTCCAAACAGGGTATATAATTACAACACTTCATCTCAGAAATATAGACAGATAAAATGTTGTAGCATACCTACGGACGATAATGGGTAAGCACCCATTCCCATAAATACAATAGTGAATACGGTATGTATTGGTCGTCCGGCCTGCAGTTATGATTCGTCTTCAGCTGGGCTGGTTAAACTCTCTGCCTCCGAGCAGAGATGATACCCAGATCGGGCTATGCCAAAGGGCAGAGTCTCGTCTCGGGAAACTCATGCAAGACACCGTTTTTTACAGGGTCTACGGGGAAATTTTAGCCGATCCTACGAGCTTGGATACCCCACATTAAATTCGGCCTGCGTGGGGCAGTTGGTAGATATTATCTCCTAGCCTGCAGTGGGAGGTTTGTCTTCTGGTTAAGCTCTCTGCTTCGTAAGAACAATTACTTTTATCCGGACTAGTAACCCGGGATTTTATCCGGACTAATAGTCTTCGAAACTGGAACATTCCTGTGCTGCGAAAGAGATGTTCCGCCCATTTACGCAGACTTTTCAAGTACGTTGTTCACTTATTGTAATCCTCTTTTCTCTTTTTGCGAATTTATTTAACTCGTTCTCTGTCCTCATGTTGTCACACAAGGTAACGGATTATGTGATTATCTTCTCCATATAGATCATTTCAAGATCTTCGCGTCGTGCAAGAATGCCTTTGTGCAAGATATGAAAAAATGGATATAAAGAATTCTGCACTTCTGTTTCTCACTTTGGTAGTGTTTTCATCAGGAAAATTGCATTTCTTGTTCCAGTGTTTTAAATAAATTCACGTTGCTGTTCTTCAATTTATTTAATTCTGCCAATATTAAATAGTCTTAATTATTAATCTAGTTACGTGGCTCATCACACTGGTTTCACCGGCGGCGCTAACACAATTGGTATACTTTGTAAAATAGTTAGTGTTTAAAAATATTATTTTTATATTCATCCTATTAAAGGCACAAGTTCCAAAGGTTAATAGATGCATTTGCTGTATTAGTAATAAGGGTAAGAGTTGCAGTTTATGTGCATATGTAGAAAAATAACGTTTAATCCTAGTCTTCAAGAGGTTAAGATTTAAGTAGGTGCGAAATCATCTTCCAGATTTCCTGTTCCACAAAAACATTTTTTTCGGAAGGAGCTATCTGAGATGAACTTATTACAAAAGAAACTTAATTAGGGTGACTCACATCAATGCACGATGACGGGTAGCTCTTAACTTGGTGGATTAGAGAAACTAACGATTGTAGTTTCTTTGAACATTTTCCATAGAAATAGCTGTAGCGTGAAATTTTCAACGTTTATTTTCTGTGAGAAAAGACATCTGAATTGGGAAACAATTCATCACCAATAAGGACGCGTATACGCTTTTGTACTCTGTCAAAACCAGAAAGTGAAAACTAGCAGCAGTACTTCATTTTCGGATTGGTCTGTCTCTTGTAAAGGTAAGGATGATGAGAAAGAGTTGGATACTGACTGGGACGCTGCAGTAAGCACCTATTTTGTCATACTAAATACAGGGTGACCCAAAAAATGGGAACTTTTTAACAATCCAATAAATCCAAGAGTGATGGAAGAAAAATATTTTATTCATAGAAATTGAAACCTTAAAACATGCCATTTAAGAAACAATGATGGAATTTTCATTTTTTAAAAATTACATCCTGTAGATGGCGTCCTCCTGTAAGAATGCATTCTTGAAATTTGCTGTTGAGATTCCCCGCTGAATGCTGCAACATCTCAGCTGGGATACTGTGAATTTTATCTTGAATTCTAAATGGCGAAATGTTTACTTGCCCAAGGTCACTGTCTCGGAGTGTTGCCACTTGCTCATGTCTGGCAATACGCACTTCAAAAATTCCCGTCTTTTTGGGTCACCCTGTACTAACAAATGTATTTCTGGCATTTCCCGAAAACTATCTTTCAGTCAAAAAATGTCTACCTAAAATTTATACGCAGTTTATTGATTTGTTTCTTAATATTCTGGACACTGCAATTAATCTGTCTTTTTAAGCACAAAAATATTTTTCTTCTTTCTAAATTTTATCGTAATAACGATTCATTAAGTAATAGTTTAACTTCAAGGAATACATATTGTTTCGACTAATATTAATTAATTTTTAGCTATATATATATATATATATATATATATATATATATATATATATATATATATATATATATATATATATATATATATATATATATATATATATTTGAGGAATAAAAATATGGGATCATATTAAACATAAGATACAACAATATCCACGTTTAAAACATAAATGTAAGGCGCCTTTCGACCGACACATTTTCAAACACAATCGTCGGTAATCTAAAACGGAGTACTAACAAGATTTTTTTTTTTTTTTTTAATACCCTAATAAAACAACTTTATCTGGCCAGGGACTCTTTTGCTCCCAGATCCAGAAAGGTTAACCTTATAAGTTGTCTTACCCATAGGGCATTGAAGATTTGTTCTGAATGTAGACTCGAGGCCGAATTGAGAACAATTAAGGAATTGTTTCTTAAGAACGGTTACCCCGAATCAGTTATTAAAACTGTCATTGTACGCAAGATCAGGAAGTTCAATGAAATTAAGAAATATGGGCCTTCCAAATGTCCTATATATGTCAGTCTCCCTTGGATTGGTCCTGAGAGTCAGACATACGCCGATAAGATCTCTTCATCCATTAAACGGTGTTATAATGCCGTTACAGTCAGGAACATATTTACTACCAGGAGGGCTTTCCCCCCTTGCCGTAAGGATGTTTTGCCTACCTACCATAATAATTTAGTTATTTATCAATTTAAATGTCGATGCGGGCTCGACTATGTGGGCAAAACTATCCAGAGGCTTGAGGTTAGAATCGCCCAACATGCCCCGGGCTGCGTGCGCAGGCATGTGACAGCCGGGTGTTCGCAGACTCATGCCTCTGCTATCGGTGAACATCTATTAAATTCTGGTGTTTGTAGGACCGAGTATTCTCCCCATTTCTTTTCGGTATTGCGCAGGGCTAGGAACAGACTTCATCTCGACATTTTGGAGTCTGTTATTATCAACATACGTAGGCCGGTCCTCTGCGTACAACGGGAGATGAAGTTTAAGTTGGCCTTATTTGGGGGAACGGTTACATGATTTGAGGTAAAATAATTTTTTTCTTTTTTTTTTCTTCATCACTTACCATCTTGTTTTATTACGGTATTAATAATTTTTTTTTTCTTCTTAGTACTCCGTTTTAGATTACCGACGATTGTGTTTGAAAATGTGTCGGTCGAAAGGCGCCTTACATTTTATGTTTTAAACGCGGATATTGTTGTATCTTATGTTTAATATGATCCCATATTTTTATTCCTCAAATGTCTGATTAGATTTGGCAGCACGAGAAATCTGTTTATATATATATATATATATATATATATATATATATATATATATATATATATATATATACTAGCAGCCATACCCAGCTGGTTGATCAGAAAAAGCATTCCATTAGAATGGAGCAAAAACAGCATCATGTTTAGATGTAACAGAGTTTATCTTCTTCATTTATTTTAAAGTACTTTTAATAAAAAAAAATTGAATTAATATACTTACTGATATAACAGAAGTAATCTGTATTTATTCAATCGAAGTTAACCGAGGAGATGAAGGGGTAAAACAGAAAACATGAAGACCCACTTCAGGCCACAATTATTTTGTTTTTGAACTCCAATTTGTCAGTGTGCTACCAGGGTTGTAAAAGAGGATGCATTTATTAAGTAATTGTAAAGTTTGATGAAAATTAATTGAAAGATCAATGAAAAATAAGAAAGAATCCAGTAAAAATCGCCATTTTTTGCTATTTATGCGAGTTTTCACTCTATAGATGGATTCAATTATCAAGTTAAATAACTGTTAAACAATCAACTTATTGTCGGCTACAATTGAGTGAAGTTTGTATTAGATTGCTTGAAAATTGAGAGAGTTTTTAGTTTAAAATTTGTGTTGAAATCGATTAATGTTGAAACCGATTTTTCTTTTTTCGCTAAACGCAGTGGCGATGAAATAAAAATGAAGTATCTTTTGAGCTCAGCATGATATAAGTAACCTACATACAGAGTTTGAGCAAAATCGGAGGGAAAAAGTTGAAATTATCGATTTTTGATTGGCTTTATCGATTATTGATTTTTTTTAAATTATCGATTTTAAGCTAAGAACCTATCTCTTATATTGTATATTTATAATGTATATTCCTAGTTTGGACAAAATCGGTTGGATGGATCTCGAGTGAAATGGTATCACACAGACAGACAGACACACACACAAACAGAGATATCCTCTATTTTATATACATAGATAACACAACGTCAGATGAGGGAGAAAAGAGGTGAGAAGATTACGCCGCGTTAAATCTTTCAAATTAAGTAGGCCTGCAGTTACAGAAAATCCGTATTCAAAATCTTAGTTTTTATTTATCAAGAACGCCTGTCTCTCACACTCATAAAGAATAAATCAGTGCTTCATCGATGAGGTAAGCCACAGCCATGGTTGCTACTTTAAAAAAGTGAATACATTTGACAAAGAGCATATTGCTTGAATTTGATGTTTGTAAGAACCATTTCTGAAACCATTCCTGAAATCTCTGCAGAAGAAAGAGGAATAGATAATCAGATGTAATCGAAATGACAATAAAATAATATCTTCTGCCATCGCAATAATTTTAGGTTATTTTTTCCTATTGCCGAAAAAACTCCTTGATAATTCTTCCATTTTGTTGGGGATTAAGTCTCCTATGGCGTTTTTAAGAGAAAATGCTTTATTTTCTTTTTTCTTTTTACTATAGGCCTTTCTTATTTTTGTCCTTTCCAATTTATAAGGCTATTCGCTTCACTCATTTTTCCATTTATTCCGTTTATTGAATAAATACAATGACATAATGATAATGATTAAACAAACAGATGAATGCTTGTGCATGAAGAGAGTTTCACGACGTAAAAGAAGATGAAGACATAGTGAGAGGAAACCAGGAAAAAAGATGATGAAAGGATGAAGAAATAAGGAGACGGTCTAGGAAAAGAGAGAAGGAAAAGAAGATGAAGGAATAGTGAGAGGAATCCGGGAAAAAAAGAGACAAAGAAGATGAAAGAATAGGGAGATGGACCAGGAAAAAGGAGAAGGAAAAGAAGATGAAGACATAGTGAGAGGAAACCTGGAAAAGAGAAGAGGAAAAGAAGATGAAGAAATAAGGAGATGGTATAGGAAAAGAGAGAAGGAAAAGATGATTAAAACTTAGTGAGAGGAATCCAGGAAAAGAGAAGAGGAAAAGAAGATGGGAAATTGGAGAGTGGTCCCCGGAAAAGAGACAAGGAAAAAATATTTTGAGAACTGTTAAATATCGTAAGGTATATGAAGAGCGCCAAGATATAAAATTGGAAAGGAATAGAAATGCGAAACTGGAGTCATCATAACGAAAGGAAAGGATTTATTAAAAGTGTACAAAGCTTATTGTGATGACATCGATGAAGACGCGAAAAAGGAGAAGGAAATAAAGTCAGAAAAGTAAAATGAAAACCAAAGATTACCAGAGGACAATAGAATAAGGATATAAGAAATTTAGGAAGGAAATGCCGAAGGAATGGGGATATCATCATTATACAAATGTTAGCTTGAAAAAAGAGAAGAAGAAGGGGAAGAAAAAGCAAAGGAAAGAGTGAGAGCAAAGGTTAAAATACGAAACATAAAGATTGTAGTGACAGGCACATTTCTGGGGAAAAAAGAAGCAGAATAAAATAAATTCCCTAGAATTATTGCAGAGGATAGAGAAGAATAAAAATTGAGAAGAAACAGAAGTAATATAAATGAACAAACAAATAAGCAACAACAACAACGAGGAGAAGAAGAAAAAGAAGAAGAAAAAGAAGAAGGAGGGTGAGGAGAAGAAGAAGAACAAGAACAAGAAGGAGGAGAACAAGAAGAAGAAGAAGAAGAAGAAGAAGGAGAAGAAGGAGGAGGAGAACAAGAAGGAGGATGAGGAGAAGAAGAAGAAGAAGAGGGAGGAGGAAGAGGAGAACAAGAAGAAGAAGAAGAAGAAGAAGAATAACAAGAAGAAGAAGGAGGAGAACAAGAAGAAGAAGAAGAAGAAGAAGAAGAAGAAGAAGAAGAAGGAGGAGGAGGAGGAGGAGAAGGAGGTGAATTTGGAGGGGAGAACTTGGAGGAGGAGGAGGAGGAGGGAGAGAAAAATATTATTTAACTCTAGAATACTTACCGTTCTTTTACCGCGGTTTGTTGTTATGCGGATAATTTACCAAAGCTTTGCGGAAACGACTGTTATCAGTTGTGAGTTATGAAAGAAGAGAGTACAAGAATAGGCTATCTGCTAAAAATACAATGGAAGATCGCACGAGTGAGCAGACAAGACAAAAATTGATGGAAAAACAAAATGGACGCAAAGATGGCTGAAATAGTTTTAAAATAGAAAACAAGTAATGGACAAGAAACAAGGATGTGCGAAGACGGTGAAATTGGAAAAGAAAAAAACAAGCACAGAAAGAAAGCTACAGAAGAAAAAACTTAATGAAGTAAATTTAAAAAATGACGAAACAATCTAGAAACTAAATACAGTGAATTTTATTTTAAAACACGGAAAAAATACAAGACTAATAGTCGATCAAATTTTACAAATGTTTACGTAATGCCAAAAACATTATAAAGCTTAACACTACTTAGACCATAAGTAAATGGTTGAAGAACTTTACTATTTAAAATAAATAGTAAATGCCAAATTGAAAACATTTAATAATATTCTAAAATAAAATGAAAATAAAATTAAAATAACATAAAAGATTAATCCCTATTGTAAAATAAGTTAAATTATTATTATTTTTTGTGCAGACATCACTGTCTATTTAACAGTGAAATTAATACATACCGAACTTGTGATTGAAAATTATATTAAAGAAAATGTCTCTCAGCATTTCATTAAGGCAATCGATCTGTAGGAAACAGGAATGTCTACTCTAACACTTGTACTCACTAGGATTAGATAAGTTCATTTATCGTCCAGTTCAGGCTACTACCAGGCCTTTCGAACAGGATTAGAAGCGTATTCCGTATTTCCTGTTTAGGATTGGGTTTCTAGTTTCTTTTATGTTTTCGCTTTCTTTTTCCCTCCTAAATTATTTTCAGATAAAGTGTATCTGTAAAGGAACAAAATGGATAAAAAGACGAGAGGAAAATATTCTTAGTCGATTTTTGTCCTCTGAGGGACTTTGTCAAGGCAAATATAGGATTTTGTTGCACTTGTTTATATACAAATTCAAGAAAGTCATATTTTATATGCAAAAGCATCAATATCATATTTTCATGGAAATAATGCTACACTTATCAAAAGAGAAAGTATTTTAGTCAGAAGATAAACTATCGAGAGTGCTACTATCGAATATTATCAAAATATAAATCTACACCCTGGTTTCTTTCCAATCTCACCTTTCCTGAAAGAATTTCACAATCCAACATACATGACCACAAATATGTTGAAAAAAACCGGTTAAATCCATTACCTCAAGTTTTTAAAGAGTTATAGAACATACGAACATCCCAAACCATAACAATCTGATCGCAATTTAAACAATATTCAGTTATTAAAATCAAAAAAGATATATATTTCTTGAATATTACTCGCTTACTTGTGCTTTACAAGATGTTTAATTATGGCACATTCTGCCCTTCACATGTTTTGGTTAAGCTTTCCACTACCTGATGAATATTCATAAATATTCTCAAATTCAAAAGTCTTGATAGACCAATGACATCCTTGCCTTTGTATATAAAAACGTGCAACAAAATAAGTCCTACATTTGCCTAGATAAAGTCTCTCAGAGAACGAAACGCGTCGGCAAAAATAGTTTATCCTCTCGTCTTTTTATTTGTGCTGTTCCTCTACAGATATACTCTATCTGAATGGAATATATATATATATATATATATATATATATATATATATATATATATATATGTGTGTGTGTGTGTGTGTGTGTGTGTGTGTGTGTGTGTGTGTGTGCGTAAAATAATTTTTCCTCATAAATTTTTATTCATATATATATATATATATATATATATATATATATATAATTATAATTTAGGCACTATTTGTGTATTGAGCACTGTTTTTTTTTAAGATAGATAGATAGATAGATAGATAGATAGATAGATATTAGTGGTAAATAGACACATACATATGCAAAATATAAAAATATATATACATAGGTGCATACACATACATGTATATGTATAGAATCCAGGTAGAACTCAATGTCCAGGACAGAGTAAGGATAAGGTGTAATTATTTGTATGTTACAGGCGCGGTACTTAGAAAGCGCTCAGTAGCAGAGATAGAGCTATCATGTTGAACCAGATGTATGTATATGTGTATATGTATATATATGTATGTGTGAGTATGTGTACATTTGTGTGGATATATTTATATATGTGTGTACATGGGTATATGTATGTGTGCATATGGGTACACGCCTATGTGTATGTATATACGTGTATATGTTATTGTGTATGTGTGTATTCGCATGTGTTTTTGAACATAAAAATATAGGTCCTTGCTAGATTAGATAATCGTTATATTTAATTTTTATATGTTTCTATTTTCATTTGTAACCTGTAGTCGATATTAAATTTGTCAAATTTTCTTAATTACACAGCGGCCCTTTCAGTAAATGTCCATCAATTTTACTTTCCTTCGCCCCATCTCTCTCCCCCACCTCTTCTTTCCTTTCCCTCTCACTCTTATTCTGATCTTCAACATTAGATCGTCTATGCCACCACGAAATGTATCCTTATGCATTAGACATCCGACAACATTCATATTTCTCTTACTTAAACCCCTTCCACTCACCTTTCCTAAAATTCTCTCTGTTAAGGTTTAATCTCCCCCCTTCTCTAATCTGTTACCCCTCTCTTTAGCTCTAACATTCGTCCCACACCCTCATACTTACACTCTCTCTAAATTCTGTTTTTATTTCCGGAGTTGTTTTTTCTGTTTTCTTTTTGAATTTGTAGGTCTGATGAATTGGATCGTATTTACGATTCCAATGGAATAAATTATGACCATGGAATATTAGTGTTTAAGCCTTTTTTTATATATATATATATATATATATATATATATATATATATATGTGTGTGTGTGTGTGTGTGTGTGTGTGTGTGTGTGTGTGTGTGTGTGTGTGTGTGTGTGTGTACGTGTTACGAAATAATAACTCTTATAAAGCTTAAAATTCAGACAGATATGAATCTTTATTCGATTTTTAAAATAAAACATAAACATCTGAACGAATTGCAGTTTATTTTCTAAATAAAATCTTTATTTAACACATTAATTCAGCATAATCTTTCTTTGAATACAATTTCTTTGGAGTGTTTACATTGCAAAAATATAATCAGGTTTTACGCACACGTTTCACTGTATTAAGCATTTAATTTAATATGGAATTAATTCGTTTCAAATCTCGCCATGTGCATTATGAAGTTCGCCAAGTTCGAATGTATTAAATACAAAGAAATTAAGGATCCATTTGGCTATTTAAACGTAAAATAGCATTTAAATTGAGCTTATTTGCGAACACAACTTTACCTAAACTCATATTTCAACCTACTCTTAAAAAGGCATATCGTGGTTGTGTTCGTTATTGCAACCTGTGGAATAAAAATCTGTTTAAATTTTTGGGAAATACACCATTTGTATAAAAGAATCTAACTGTGGAAATAGACATCCCTCTTTAAAAAATCTACACGTCCTTAATCGTCGAGAGCCACGGAGCCTTCCGAGTTAAATTTTACTCTTAATTACGGCGATTTAATTAGACGATAACAATACAAATTGTGTCGGAACTAAAAAATAATAAAGAATTGTTTTTTTTAAACCTTTCACTCCATTCAATATATATATATATATATATATATATATATATATATATATATATATATATATATATATATGAAACTAAGAATCAGTGCCATTTTAGCTCCAAAGAATGTGGCATTTGATTATTCGGACATCAAATTTCTCGAAGAGTTGCCAGATGAGCGTCGCAGCTAGAAATCCATTGACGCCGGCGAAGCTGTGAATTATCTAATTGAATTTTTTGAATAGCCTAGCGCCAGTAGGGCTCTGATCTCACAATTTGCACCTCAAGACTAGAGCTCCGGTGATGCTGCTAACAAACCTGAATGCATCGAAGCTTTGCAATGGTAAACGACGTACAATTGAGAAGATGATGACAACAGACTTGGAAGCAACAATTCTGACTGGCAAGGCAAATTGTTAGGTTGTATTTATTCTTAAAATTCCACTTATGCCCTCGGATATGGCTTTCCAGTTCAAACGGCCTCAATTCCCGGTGAAACTGAGTTTTGCAATCAGTATTAACAAAGCTCAGGGAGAGTCTTTGGATGTGGTCGGCAGAACCGGTATTCGTCCATGGCCAACTTTATGTGGCACGTTCAAGAGTCGGCAATTCTAATCATTTGTTTCCTTATACCCCACACGAAAAGACAAAAAATGTTGTTTATCAAAAGGCTCTGACAACTTGATAAGAAACACCCACTCATCAGGTGTTTATGATTTAACTGTACTATTTGACAATGTTGTAAATCTTTTGTTAATTTATATGTTATTCTATTTGTAAATCTATATATAAATATATTTGCAGGTCTGTTGTGAAACAAATGTATTTTAATACTAGCCCTCCTAAGGTTTATATACTCTGTGAACGAACAAAAGCCCTGTTTGATGATACGTACTTTGAATTGTTACTTTCGGATAGCCAAAGAAACGATATGAGAACGAGAACTGGGGATAACATCCGCCTTTCCGGAAACTACCGGGTACGTCAGCTAGTATATATTGGTGTGTAATATGTATAATCAAATTTGACAACATTAGTCAGACTGAAAATATTATATCTAAAATGTAATACTTATTATATTGTGCATATATCATAGATTACATAACATTTGAATTAACCTTCCATCTATACAATAGAAAATTATTTTCTGAAGCCAATCATTGTTTCTAACCTAGTTTATAAAAATATTTTAAAAGTGTTGTTGAAAAAACTTTTCTTATGAATATGACCAAAGGTAAAACATTTCTCTGGTGCAACGCTGGGTTTCAGCAATGGTAACATTAGCCCTTTCTTTATATGGAAATATTTGGCATTTATTGAAGAGCAACCTTTGATACTGTCGATTAGAATTTATAGAATCTTTCTTTTAATATAATTGTTCAGGAAAATAAGTCCACTAACCGTTATTGCTGCTTCCAATATTGGTACAGACTTCTTTACCAACCTTTTGTTCGAAGCAGTGTGAAACGTCAATAGCTTTATTATGTCATTATATTTTCTCTGAGTTACAAGCGATATCCATTTTAGTTGTTGCCGCTGTTGGAATTCCTCAAAAGGTGTGCTATCTGTTATTTGATATAGTTATTCGTTGTTGATACTGTAGCGCCATTCCTCGAAGTTCGATAAAGTATTGTTCTCTTTAAGTTCTGCAACGTTCATTTGCTTGAAGCAATTTTTCTAATTAACGGTGAGAAAACGATTATATACAGCTGACGGTTTAGATATTTCTAAACGGTTTGAACACCATGTATGACATTTATATTAACCTATTAACTGCTAGATTTTGTAATGCGCATTTTTATCCCATACAGGTGTCTTAGGAGTTTATTTATTCCTTATGTTTAATTTCAGTAGTTACCATTGTCATTTTTATAGAAACTAGAACATAAATAGTATATAAATCATGTTCTTATATTAATATTCTGTTTTTCTAACAGTTTTATTTGTTGGACAAAAATGCCCCTAGCGCAGCCGATTCTATGTTCAAAGTGCCAGCAGTTTTTTTTAATCAGTTTCTCTTTTTTATGTGCCGTGTCCCTTCAGGGCGTGGGTGATCATGGCTTTCCACTTCCTCTTATCCCTTGTATCTCTCAATAAGTTTCGTCCGTCTGCCACCTCTCCCAGGCCACGTTTTGTCACCTACTTGCTTAAGCCCGCTAGGTATGCCATGCGTTGTTTTCTCTTGTCTCTCTTTCCATCTATTCAACCTGAGAGTATCTGATTCTCCAGGCCCTCCTTTCCTATTACACGTCCCAGTAATTTCAGCTGCCTCTTCCTGGTGTTAAGTATAAGCCTCCTCCTTGTTTTCATCTTCTCCAAAACCTCGTCGTTGCTCACACGCTCGTCCATGATATATTCAGCATCCTTCTGTAGAATCATTTCTCCTTTGCCTCGAGTCTCTTCTTCATCTTTGAAGCAGTTTTACTATACTAACGGGATGAATATACAACACAGAATTCAGTTTGACATAAATATATTCTACAGTCAATTTACCTTAATAACCTTAAAAAGACATGAAAACATTTCTTGCAATCTCTATTGCTGGTGTAATGCCCAATACTACCTGGAGTGAAGATTAGTATACGATATAATTTCACCATAGCTGCTTTCAGAAATATTATGGCATCCCGAGTAGCCATGGGCTAATGACTTTTTTAAGTGACTTCTATCTCTTTTTGCACATTAAAATTTTTTTAAATATTAGTTGATTAATTTTGCTCCAAAGGTTGATATACAGGGTGTTTCAAAAAGAATACGCCAAAATTATCTAGCATGAACACATGTATTGTATATACATTCAAGTTTCATTTCATGTTTTATAAGTGCTCAATATGGCCACCATCGGCAGCGCGGACAACATCAAGCCGATATGAGAATTCCTCCCAAACGCGCCTCAGCATGTCACGATCCACCGTGTTGATTGCAGCTGTTATTCGATAGTTCAAGTCATCGATACTTGCTGGGAATGCTGGAAAAAAACTTGGTCTTTAACATACCCCCACAAGAAAAAGTCACACACAGTGAGGTCCGGGGATCTGGCAGAGAGAGCAAGCACAGAGAGCAAGGTCTTTAGCACCTCTCCTCCCAATCCATCGCTGAGGTACGTTTTCATTCAGATAAGCTCTAACCCTGAGATGCTAATGGGGTGGTGCTCCATCTTGCTGAAAAATGAAGTCATTCGAATCTGCTTGCAGTAAAGTGAATAGCCAGTTTTGGAGCATTTCGAGGTTTGACCTGTAACGGTGTTTCCTTCAAAGAAAAAGGGACCATAGACCTTGTCTTGAGACACAGCACAGAAGGCGTTCACTTTAGGGGAATCTCTTTCATGCTCAACAGTTTCATGTGGGTGTTCTGTACTCAAGCACGCAAAACGCCTTCTGCCGAGGAGTCGCCATTTTGATTGATCTTCCCACAATTCAGCTGCACCGGAAGTTATACTAACGACAGCGGTGAAACTGACACCCAATAAAGCTTTGATAACTACCCTATCAAATAACCACTGATTCAGTACACCGCAATGCTATAGACCTGAAAAAACAGGAAGGAAACTAACATTTAGATTTTTAATCAGGAAATGAATAAATAATTTTGCTAATTTAAATATTCCTTTTAAGGAAGAGTAAATTGTCTGAAGTTAATCCTCTAAAAATTTAATTCTAAGAAATTTTACTGTCTGCTAATTCAAAGAATGCCGCGCGTCTTGTTCGACATCGCTGGTTGGTTAATATATGCATGCAAAGATTTAAATTCAAAACCGAAAAAAAATACAAAAATTGAGTTACTTTCTGTATAGTGAATTTTTAGTACTTAAACCAATTAGAATTTTTCTACAATTCTGAAACGGCCCCCACATTTAATATTAATAATGTACCCCAAGCTATAGTAATTTCATCTCTCCTCCAATGCTCCGACATTTAGACTCCCTACAAGAAACATATTCGTCAGTTTGATGGCAGTGTCTTCGAATTTCTGATCGCGTCAAGTATATACAAAAAATGCATACAACGTTTGAGAGTCTAACGCATTGAACATCAATGTATTACAAGACAGATCACTGAAAACCACTTCAACAAACATGTAGACTTCAAAAGATGAATAGATATGAAATGTTGTGTGGGTCTCAACGTTGTCGAAATAAATTAGCGATTCTGTTGTCGGACGTAATTTCAGTTTGGGCGTTTCTCCCCTCTACACCGGCTTCCCGGTATTTATTGATGTTCTCTGTCTTGTTTCGTTCGTTCGTTCCGTCACTACTGCACGTATCGTACGATGTACCCCGACAAAACTCACTCTTTTCTCCAAGATGGTCTCTAAATCACGGAACGAGACATTCGCACTCTCTCAGGTAGTAGTCCGACACGCCATACCCAGACGAACTCTCTGACTTTCAGACGCCGGTCAAAAACAACTCATTCACCACTTCCGCCCTTCGTCTCGAGTTCCGGTTTACTACGTCTGCGACACTCAAGCTGTCTTTAAGAGCCATCAAAAGCATAACCACAAGTTGAACATGAATATGTTTTCTTTAAAACAGACGGAAAAGATAATTTTGTTAATTTTTTTTTATTGTATTTTTCTTTTATAGAAACAAGAGCTTCCTTTTTTTTAGACTTGCTGACTGTAGAAATTGTTCAAATTATTTTTCGTCTCGAAATTGTTATTTAAAAATATTAAAAATTGCGTTTTTATAACATGTGTGTTTTGCATCAGTCAGTACGATTTTTATAAGCATTTCATCCCGAGCTAGGCGGAAGTGCCACTAGCACGTAAGCGGTTACAGAGAGTGAAAGTAAGAGAAAAGACTGTGTATAGAGGAGATAAAAGAAGAGGATAAAAAGAAGAAAGGAGATCAGGGCATCAGAAGATGTCGATTGAAGAAGCTGTTGGAGTAGAAGAGTAGGAGAGGCGGTTACATTTAACTGTTTCGACAGTAAAAGGGTGAGATTGAGATACCAACTTAGTAGCACGCTAAAATTCCTAAGGTCGGGGCATACAGTGAAAATAGCTTTTCAGAGCAGTTGCCATGAAAATATTTGTATGAAAGACAGAAGGAAGTCACATTATGTCTGTTAGAAAGTGATTGGTGTCGAGATATCAAGTCAGGCCCGATCACATTCCATATCAGACCTTGGATTTTCTCGTGAACCTCGACATGAAGAACGGGGGCACCTTACCATATATGGCAATAGTATTCAATGCATGGATGAATGGTAGATGTGTAGACGTGAAGGATGAGTCAGGCGAAAAAACCTTCTGGCGCGACACAGAGAAGCAACTTTCCTTGCGGTAGATGCAGCTATTGATTCTATGTACTTGTTCTACCTCAGGTCAGCGGAAAACGTGAGACCAAGAAGACGCAGTGAGACGCTGAAGTTGAGTATCAACGATGCTGATACGAGGCGGGGAGATTTCTCTGATGGTTAAATGAGATCAAGTTTCGTTTTGGAGGCATTCAAATTTACAAGCCATTTCCTGCCTCAGTCAACCACAGATTAGAAGTTCTTTTCCAGACCAACGGCCAGGTTAACTTTGTCAGTATTGCCGCATTTACTATTGAGATATGAGTAAATGGTAGTGTTACCTACTTGAGAACTGATGACATCAGGAGGTTCAGTGTAGGACCCAGGATAGGGCCTTGGGGAACACCAGCCTTTGTATGAAGGAAACTGGAAGAGACTCGTTCAAGACGTTCTTTATTTCACGCTTTGATAGGAATGATTGGATTAACTCAAATACTCGTCCTGTAATACCCTGAAGCTTACGTAGAAAGCCGGCATGCTAAACCCTGTCAAACGCCTTCGAGATATCTAAAGCTACAGTTTGAGCTTCGCCGTTATTATCAAGAGCTTGGTATATATATTCAATTATATATTCAATTATGACCGTAAGTTCATCAGGGTTTGTCAGAGAGTAGATCGTGAAAGGTAAGATTCTTAATCACTTTGGCATTGGTTAAA